AAACTAAAATTTTAGGAAAATGTTCTTCAAAAAAAAAAAAAAAAGGGAAAATGTATTGCAATCTTCGTTTGACTGTAAAAAGAGGAAAAAACGTCATAGAGGCTGTCTAGATCCATGTCCCATTGCCACGTGGATCCCCATTTATTGTTCCACTCACAAAATCACGCTACCTGTCCTACTACACTCACTACTTTGAAGTGGTAATAGAAAGTAGAAACCAGTACTCTTTTATTTTGGTGGTACAGAAACCAGTACTCTTTAACTCAAGAGGAATGTGTATTCTTATAAATTCAACTAAAAACAAGTATTATTGGTTCTTCATGTCAAAATAAAGATTAAAAAATAGGTTCTTAATTTAAATAAGAATTTTAATAATTTCTTGGAAGATATTAACTATGTATTATTGGTCCACTCATTTCATAACTCAAATTATATCTTTTTTTATTTTAGCAATTATAATATTTAATTCAAATCATTTCTAACATCTTCAATTGGTAGAACTTATATTTTATTCTTCCTTTTTCTTTTTCTCCTTTTTTTTTGTCTTATATATCAAAAAATTGAAAGATATGCTTTTCTTAAAAAAAGAATTACTTGTTTTGCATGTTGTGGTTTCAAATTTAGAGGAATTGAGCTTGTTTAATATGAAAATAAATCAGTTGTGGATAACATTTTCCTACACTATGACTTCTCAAGAAATCTTGAATTTCAGAAAGCTTAAAAGTCTACATATTACTCTTTGTAGCAGCTTAGAATACCTTTTTACTCCTTCCATGGTATCAGGCCTTGGGCACCTCGAGGACTTGTTTGTATCAAACTGTAGAGATTTGAAACAAGTGATTATGGTAAAAGGAGTTGAGGAGGTAGTGAACACAGAGTTGATATTCCCACGGCTAAACTCCATTTTGCTACAGCGTTGTGACAAGTTGTCAAGTTTCTATGCTGGAAGTTCTGCACTCAAGTTCCAATCGACCATAAAAATTCGGATACACATGTGTCCAAACATGATTACATTTGCTTCTACATTTTCAACAGAGCAAGAGAAAGAGACAGCTTATCAAGAAACTGAGGGACACCTTGGAAAGAAAGAACCTGATATTCGGAGTCGGACTATATTCTTTGATACGGTCAGTTTTTTCTTCACAAATTTAACATTTAAAGCAGTTTTAATTATCGTCACTCACATACTATAATTTCCACTTCTTCGCAACATCACTCTTGCTCTGTTTTCTTCAATTACAAAAAGCTAATTATAGTGCTTACAAATTTAATAAGTCATTTAAATGTGTTTCAAAACAGAAACAAAATGCACATAATACTTCTTCGAGTCATATT